TCCACAAACTAGATCAGACCAGATTATATATATATATATATATATATATATATAAATTTCTCTAGCGTATAAATGAACAAAAACATACTTTTTGAGAATTTTACAACTGAAATTCCGCTGTAACACACAGTTTGGTCACGTGTTTCCTGTGGAGCTCCACTTTACGCCCCTTAAAGTCACGTATTTCCTGTGGAGGTGACGTATTTCCGATGGAGCTCCACTCTACAGGCGTCTGCAGCTAGACCCTTCTCGCCTGATCTGTAACTTGCACGTCTGCGCATGTGCAGCATTACACTTTACTACAAATTTTACAACCGTGTTCGACTTGTACCACTTCGTTTCACAACCTTTTCGCAACTCAACCTGATGTAAGTTTCCAACATAATTACCTCGATAGTTTGGACTTTGGTTTTCGGTAATACTTGCATCACAGTTGTGGGATTCCAAGTATGTAAGATGCTAACACAGTTAGCCACCATGCTTATGCTTTTTTGATCCCGTTATTATGTCTTTTCACGACATCAGGTTCATTTTACGGACTGCTTCAGGGTGATCTCCACCATCCCATAATCGGATATTCAGCCAGATACTCTGATTGTGGATCCTGTGTGTTCTCTGTCTGTTTAATTAAAGTTAGGACTATCTTAAGGGGGTGTAACCCCCCCCCCCCCCAAATGTACTGTAATTAGTTTGAATAATGTGGGCCATTTCCATCATACCCCCCTAATAAAGGCTTGGTTCCCCCCCCCCCCCTTTCAAAATTTTTTAGTGACGCTCCAGGTCCTGAGTCGATTAGATATGTTTATGTAGTATTATTGTACTGTATGTTTGTATGTAAATCCATTACCTTCAGTCAACTGGGGAATAGCTGGATACAGTGCACTGCATGCTTGTACATTTTAAAGGATTACCCGGGAGGCAAATTCTTTTCTACTTATGTATATCATTAATCACTCCTCAGTCCTTTATAGAGCAATTTTCCTGACTTTTGTTCAGATTTTCCTGCACTGAACAGCATTAAAGGTTGCCTGAAATCGTTCCTAACCAGTACTGTTATATTGTTGACCTGATTTGTACAAGCCACTGCCAGTCCACTGTTTTCTTGTCTCATATGCAGTGCAATAACACAGTGCTGTGCACCTGTCAAAATCAACTCTCCAGTGAACTCAGTCAGGAAAGTGAAAAATATTTTGAGGTGTAGTTCAGGACATTTTATTACTCCAGTGGAGTCTCCTGTTCCTCTCTAGCTGAAATCCTAAGGGCTTTTCAATGCCACACAGGGAACATTTTTACAACCTAACCTGGATGCCACCCCTGAGTGACCTACGCTTTTCTTGGCTTTAATACATTTTAGCAGGATCCCATGCTAGAAATCCCCTGATATACAGAATAATGAAGGCAAAAAACTATTACAAGTACTTTGACCATAATTTTATAGCTTACAGCTAGCATATTACACCAGAGGCAGGCCCATAGGCTATAATTCCCAGGCCCAGGACAAAATTACTTCAATCGGGCCCCCATGACATGTAACTCCTGATACTTGGGCAACTTCTCAGAGGCCAGGAGTCTTTTTTCTCTGGAATGTGAGGTCCATCCTAGTTGGGGTGGCACAAGGCTGAGGTTTTTTTTTCGGTTTGACAAAATAAATTCAAAGAAATTAAACACAGATTAACCTTTCCTTTACATTCACAAAAGTAACATTTCTGCAACAGGGCAGTATGCGCACTATATGATGTGTTCCTGGCAGGACATTGAGCTTTTTAATCTTTAGTCAGTGTGATTATCATGATTAATACATTTTTTGGGGGGCAGACTCAGGACCATATTACTGTAGTGAGGGACTTCCCAATAGCACACAGATATGTCAACATTGAAGTGTATAGTAGCAAAAGAAAATTATGGTTAAAGCCATTTTTCTGACCAGTAATTGTATGTTGACTTAAAAAAAAAACACTTTTTATTATTACAATATGATAAAAAGTAACAAGAAATTCTTCCCCTCTCCAAAAAAATTACTGACATCTTGTTGCATGGCTAGAACACAACTTTAGTTCCCAAATCTCTCAGCTTTAAATAATTAGACCATTTTCCTGTGACCTTTCTCATTACAGTTTTTCTCAGTTGCTTTGATGCATTTCTCACAACAGAATTGAAGTTCTCAAAACTGCTCGTTCAATTCCCACAACCTCTAGTCAGTTGTGCAGATCATAACAGCAATATCTGCAATTGCTTTAGTACACTCAGGCAGATGCTTATGTGCAATTCTCAGCTATGTATTATACATCAGCGGTTGCTAATGTCATTATGATCGAAATGCCTTGTTCTAGCCCTCTTTTTCATAGTCATACACCCCAGACAATCTTGTCATTTTGTCATTGTGTAAGTCATTGCAGTTAAAAATGTTCAACAAGATATCATTAGCTGCCGAGTGTACTAACTGACGGATTAGCATGTTATTATATTACCTGAAAATTGTCAGATAAACTTCAAGCCGTGGTGTATTATTCTTTTATAAATATTGGCAAAGATTGCCCTCTTGTGTTCAAAAGCAGATTTTTACAAACACATGAAATAATATATATTTTATACATTTGTAGAAGTACATAGGAATTCTTTTGTTTGCGTATATCCTATCAAGTGCACCTATACAGGTGAGAATAAACATTGGGATCAGAACACAGAATTGGCTATTTTTCTGGCTCGATTTTCTTTGGTCCCCTCATTGAGGATTAAGAGCTTTGCTCACGGGCACAAAGATAATGTGAACATTCTGCTGACCATGGTATTCAAACTTGCAACCTTCTGATGACAAACACCAAGCCACCCACCACTTCACAAATAAATCACAGTGTCACATTTCACACAGAAGCACTTATTTTGATTTTTCCATCTTTCAGTGTTGTTTTATTTAGGCATTTACTGTAGTATCCAACACAAATCTCACTTTAATTTACAATTTACAGTTTTTGATGGTAATCAGTATCCTAATGTTTCAGAGTACATTCCTATAATATTAAACACATATTCATCAGTTCTATGTGAATAAAAGGTTGGAGTTTTTAATTGTTGAATGTATTGAATATTGAATGCAGAATTTTTAATGACCAAAGTTGCTTGGTTTTTTTTGTTTCCCTCTCAACATGTTTGATCTTCAAGCAGTAGCCTCCATCCAGCTACCTTGATCACAAGAGCAGAAGCAAATACTCAAGTAGTCCTGAGGAATGAGGTGTGATATTTAGAGAGTTTCACATTCCATGATGATGTGAGCGTCTGCGCAAAAATGTGCACCACATTACTCACTGTCATACTAGGTGTGATGAGGTTCACGTAAGTAAATTTTGTTGTGTGCACTCTTTTTCCGAGTAACGCAATAGGAATTACTCACTTCTAGAGAAGTTCATAAGGCAGCCAAAGTTCATAAGGCAGCTTTGTAGGAAAGTGGATATAGGACAGGATACTAGTCTATAACATGGTGTGAATGTGCACACACATACACACGCACACACACACACACAAATATAAATGTATATTTGGACTATGACAGAAAAACACAAAGTATACCAAGTCATGCTCACAATGCCATCCATTTGAGCAACCCCCCTGCATCAGATGTACTGAGATTATCTTGACACCATGTACTCAGTACATGTGACAGTTACTAACTATTGCTGAAAAAAAAGAATTTTATAAAATAATGTTTACCATCTAGTATTTTGCACAACAAGTACTATGTACAAGTTAAATGGAACATATATACTGCATGCTTGTTTTATTTTCTCCGCAAGGTACACTGCTCTTAGACTCATTGTATGCTTTGGGCTTTGTTTCTCTTGCTCAGAACTTATTCCAAGTAGTGAAACAGGTTTGCCCAAGTCTTTGGTTGATTTGTAGACAAATATGTTATTTATTCTTTATCTTGCTAATGCAGAATTACATTGATACATGATCAACAGGCAAAAAAGCAATCACATGTAATAATTGTTCCATAATACTTTTTTGTATAGTGTACAACCTGTTACATCATTCCTCTGTTGTATCATGCTGTATATGTGTACATATTATATATGTGTACATGCTGTATATCAGGGCTGCGAACGCTCACGCATCTGGCGTGAGACTCACGCTTTCAAACTCTCACGCTCACGCAAGGAATCTTACGACTAATCTATATTATTCAATTATAAAACTAAAATTAGCTGCATCATAAGTGTTGGAGTAGTTTGCAAAGCTTACAGACTATTTACAAGATAATAAAACTGTAACATACATTTAAATGACTATGCAAACTTGTAGGCTATAGAACTGAAAATCTCACGCCAATCAGCTAGCCAAAGTTGGTGGCACTGGCATATGTGTTTCATACAGTATGAATCCTGCATATCTTGTTTAGTGGTTTTAAGTTAGTTCTGTGTGGTGTGGTGTTAAGTGTACTCATTGTGACCAATTCATCATAACGTTGGGTCCCTGGAGAATAAAGTCTCATTCTGATTCAGTTGTTACAAAATATTCCATATGTACTAAAACGTATATACACGCCTAAGCATTGAAAAATCCGGTATAGGAATAGGTCGGCTGATAAGTGGTGTTGTCGATACTGGCTGAATTACCCTTATGGGGTAAATTACTCATAGTAACCTTGATGTGCCTGGTAACTGGCACTCATATCTCGCTCGGCGGGTGACGTTATGCCACCGGCGCGTGACAGAAACCGAACCTGACGTCACTTCCGCTCCTGCCATTTTGCTGCTGAGGGTCGCCTTTCCATTGTGGCAGCTGATCGAGGGCGGTAGCGCTTATGTATTAAACGTAGATGAGAATATAATTTGTAAGGAAGACTATAGTTTGAACACGGCAGATAACGCAGGATGTCGGATTTCGACAGCAACCCATTTGCAGACCCGGACTTTAGCAATCCGTTCCAGGTAGGACCGTTTGCCGGGTAAACTACCCAGCTAGCTAACGAGAACAGTTGTCCTTCTGTGGTTACATTAACAGGCTGTTTACGAGCTGCGCGTCCCTAGCAGACCCTTGGAGGATTCAGTTACGCAGTCTACAGCCTGACCGTTCGGCTGACATTAAGGAATACCGGCAAAACACACGGCTGTTTAGCTGTCTGGGCCTTTGGTGCACAGTCGGGATTATTCTGCTGAGGGGCAGCTCTGCTAGCTTGTAGCGGCGGCTCAGCTGAACAGAAGCCCCTTGACAGATTTCCTTACCTTTGATAACAATATTTTGCGAAGTGAGATTTTCACTGATCGTCGCTTGCGTTTGGAATGTGTCTTTCAACTCTTTTACCTGTGTGTAAGGTGCCAGCCAAATGCAGGCTCACTCCTGACAGGCGCTTGTTAATTAACATGCGTTTCTGTCGTTAAACCAATTCAAGGAACTGAATATATTATTATTTTATTCATTTTTACATCTGGAAAATGACGGTAAAAATTCCCAAAAGCTCAGTAGAATGACATTTGCAAAACCACCTGGACGTGCCAAGATAAATTAACGGTCCTGTTATCTGGTCAAGCTCTGGGGTATTGAACTGCATTCAGAGACGATGTTTGTGGTTGCAGCTCGTTATCCCCTTCAGCTAACGCCTTTACTCTTCAGAACGGAAAGTACTGGTCTCATATGTCGTTTTACCCGTTAATCACTTTAACCACTTTGGCTAGTGGTGATGCTGACAGTGGTAGCACGTTAAGACGAACTTGTTAAAATGCAGACGTACATACATTTAGTGTGAGTTTCTATCTGCTGTGTCTGTTTTAAATCTGCATGAAGGTTGTTTTTTATCTTCTCCAAATGCTGTGGAATTATAAGGAAGTATCAGTACTGACAAATGCAAAATGCCTCTGTTTTCCACACGCACTCTCAGATTGATCTTGATTATGTAGAAGTTATAGCTCTGGAGAATGGGCATTGCTCCTCTCCTCTTCTCTCTCGTCTCTGAATCATGCTGCCAATTTCTTAGGCGGGAGGTAGCACCCCTGGACGTTATCCCAAAGCAAGGACATGGTCAGTTATCACTGCCAGGTTATTTTGTCACAGTCCTTGTGCTCTGTTCCTACTTTGTCTGCTAATGTAACTTTACATTTGCTGTTAAGTTTAATCATAGAATGAATTATTATTCAGGTGGTGATAAAGAATAAGGTGATTAGCGGTAAGAAAATGAATGAAGATGATTAAAATGCATGGATGAAAGATGCAGAAGTTTGTGAGTTTTTTTTTTGATGTAATAAACTGAGTAACAAACATTTAGCATTAAATTGTTGTAAGATTATAAAAACAAGTGCTCATAAGTGATCTAGGCAATATTTTTTTTTATCTATATACAAATTTGCCTATCAAAACATCTTCATGTCAAAACCACATGTGACATGGAGAGAAATGCAGCAAGAATTTGAAGCAGGGTATTGAATCTACCTCAATACTGACTATTTTATTGTGCAATGCTGTTGAACTGTAAACAATTTAAGTTGTTGTCTTCCATCAAGAACACACTTGTAGCTGAAAGGTTGCTTTTTTATATTCAGAGGTCTAGCAGTGATACTTTTGACTCAAAATTACCCTCATGAAGTATCCTGCTGTGTAAATTGGTAATATTTCCAATAGATAAGTATAAATTAAGCTGTCAATTAATGAGTAATTCAGTGCATTTTCTTTTAGTTCCTTTTTTGTTTATCCAGTTTCTTTTTCTTTTCTCAAGTAAATCTGTTTCTTTTCAGTGTAGTGACAGTTTCTGGTTCATTGTTTGTCTTGGCCTGGGTTTGTCATGCATTCCCCATGGTTCATTGGATTTTCTATGCCGTCCTGCAGTCCAGATACATGTGGTTAAGGTGGAATGGTGTTATGTAGTGTGTATCTTGTATGTATCTTGTGCTTGTGCTTGGTAGAATAGGCTCTTGGCTTGTTGCAAACCTGCCCTGGACAAGCAATTCTGGCAAAATGGATGCCTGTATGTTACCTGTTACAGCCATCTGCCGCTGGCACGTGTGATTCTTGTTGGATAAGTGGTTACTGAATATTTTAGAGGTCTGTGACTTCCTTACTACATGATTAGCTACGTGTCCTTAAATTGCAATGATCAGGGCAACAAGTTAACAGAAATTAATCATGGAATCACAGAAACTTTCAAATATAAGTTGTGCTAATTCTGCCCCAATCCCCCCCCTCCCCCCCCCCAAAATACATAAATAAAAGCAAATACTGCTCAGCAACACTGCTGAGTGCTAGATAGCTACTATAGGTAACCTGTTTGTTAGCAGTAGTTCATTGTTACTGCTCTCCTTATGCTCTCCTTATGGCTTTGTTGTGGGCAGTGCTATCAGGTGATGTGCATAACAAGTTTTCTGCATGGTCACTTTGAAAATGTGCAAGATCATGAAAAATGTTAAGGAAGTATAATCTGTGTAAATGCGACACTTTCATTTCCCTATTATATCTACAGTTTTACTCATTGAAACAAGGTTATTACATATTTCTGTAGCAGTCTATTTACCCACCCATTTTCCAGCTAGGTCATGGTCATTTTAGGGAAGCTTGGAGCCTATTCTTGGTACAGTGAGGACATGGCAGGAGACACCCTGGATGGGATGCCAGCAAGCAGAGTCTTTTAGCTTTGTAATTAACGATAATGTCCTTTTCTGAATACGCATCCTGCAAACTCTAATCTATTTAATGTTACAGGTTTTGCAAAATGCCTATGGATATTTTTCCAGTAACAAAGGTGGTAAAGAATTGAAATATGTCTCTTTATATTTAAAATCATCAGCACCCTAACATGACACAGACCTGCCACAAAACAGGCTGCTGTGGTTTCATCGCTGTATAAGCACAAACATTCCAGAATGCCGCAAAACACCTGTCGTCTTTATCCCTTAGAAAGAAGAAGCTGTGTACAGAGTTTATGCATTTAGTATTCATGCAATATTCATTCATTTATGTTGAATCCTTTTTGTTTCTTCATGTCATCCTCAAAGCTCTCACTTTTTGGACAGTTTTTAATTCAGTGAACAGGAATGAGCCAAGTGGATCTGTCATGTTTTTTTGAGATAAAATACAACAAATAAACAAATGACACACAAAGTCATGCATCGCTTAATTATGGGAATATTTTCTGAGAAATGGTGATTTTGTCATTGTGCGAACATCATAGTGTAATTCCACACAATATACAGCACATCGTACTCTCGTACAACACATCGTACAGTAAGCTTCATTTTAATAAGTAGAAAGGCAAAGTACAATAAATGATAAAAATGATAAAAAGTACAATATAGTTAATACAAAAACCATTAACATAGTTATTATCGTCAAGTATTATGTACTCCATATGTTCCATTATAATCTTATGGAACCACTATTGTCTATGCAGTTTGTTGTTGACCGAAATGTCGTTATTCAGTGCATGACCATACTGAATCAGCTATTGAGCTGTGTAGCTGAAAGAGACTTTATTCCATATCTGTATTACACAGAAGTGAGATTTTGCAATAGGCAAGAGAAACGTTTATGGCTTCTGTTGAGATACTTGTTTTAACCAAATATTACCAATGTTTGCTTAATGGCACCTCTTCTTGCTTTATTAGGATCCCTCAGTGACTCAAGTAACACGGAATGTCCCCCAGAGTTTGGAAGAATACAACCCTTTCACAGATGCCAGAACGGTCAGTATTTCTCGTGTGCTAATCCAAATCAGCTACTCGTTAATATACAGTCTATGACACAATGTAATGAATGACCACACAAGATCATTAGTTTTTTAAATATATTGTACAGATAATCACATCAAATCTGCAAACATTCAGTTCTGTGGATTTGAAGTACAATATTCAATGATCAATTACCCAGAGAGAGAAAATACTTTTTGTTCCATTTAACTCTGTGATGCATTTTTTTGTTGAGTAAGAGTTAAAATAAAGCTTTCCATGTTAATTTAAGGGCACTCTGTTCCCTTAATAAATGTATTTATATTTTATTCATGTGTAAGTGAATGCTGAATATATTATGTGGCTTTGATGAAGAGGTAGGCGGGAAGACCTCGTAATGACATGTAAATGTCTGTAAGCAAAAAAGTATCTCCTGCAACAACTCAGCCAGCTCTACTGTCCACATTGGCAGTAAACATTCTGTTAGTGGGTTGCTGGCAGAAATTAGCAGCCTGCTCGGTAAGTCATGGGATACCCGGTTAAATCTGGGAATTTGAATGCCCTTTTTAAACCTCTTAGAAGAGCTTAGCCAAAAGAAACTGGTGGTATGCTTTGGTACAACCCCGCCTAATCTACTTTTCAGCCGCTTTACCGAAGCAACACAGGGCACAGGGCTGGGGAACACTCTGGATGGGATGCCAGTCCATCACAAGGCACATATCTACATACTCAACACATTGCACACAATTTACTTATGCCAGTTAGCCTAACCGAGAATGTGCAACTCCACACATAGCAGAGGTGGGCTTTCAACCCCTAATTTGGGTAAATAGCCCTAAATAGCCCCTTTTCTCTTAAGTGTCTGAGTTTCTTGTAGCAGACACCTAGCATTCTTCTGGGTGTTCAGTACAGTCTGAGCTATGTGGAAAATGTTGCGGATACTGATCCTGATACTTCGGACAATGGTCATCAGTCTTACACCATATAGGTCTAACCTCAAAAATGTAACGGCAAAATGAATTTGCCTTGGTCTGTAACATGGACACCAACAGAAATAATCAGTCAGGTATCAACCATGGACCAGAACATAAGTCTTAATAATAATATTATTATTATTATTATTAATAATAGTGTTTCCCCTAGGTTTACAGCTAAGGGGGGGAGATGTTGTTCATGGTGTTCAGGTGTTTCTTTTAATGACAGCAGTCAAATAAATGCAGATGTTTTTGTCTGCTTTTCAGGTGGTTGACATCAACATTTTTTCTGACACGCTGTCTGTCCGCTGGTGGGAGTGTGCTCACCTTTGTGTGTGCACACGTCTCTGTGCGCGCGCATCGGGGCGGAACTCCGCCATGCGCGATACAGGGAGCAGAGGAGAATTGTAAACGCGCGACCGTGTAGAGACAAAAATGAAAAGCTGTTGTGTAAATAAGATAAATAACATAACGCTATTTAGTTTGTTTAATAAAAGAACAATGTATAGACCTGTTCTATAGGAAAGGTAACCTTAAATGACTTCTGTTGTGATCTGGCACTGTATAGAAAATTAAATTAACTTGACCTTCAAGGGGGGGCAGGAGGTGCCATTGGGGGGGGGGCAGGACACCCCCCTAATATATTGGTTGGTGGAAACACTGAATAATAATAATAATAACAGGGATTCAGCTGCTACATTGCTTGGACCCCTATATCCATCCATCTATTTTTTGAAACTGTTTGTCCTATTGGGGTCTCTGGGGGACCCATAATAATAATATTAGTTAAGTTTAATAACACAGATGTTTTTTTTTTCCCCAAATGCCAGTATTACCCCTTTTTTTCTTTCCCCCTTTAAGTCGAGCCGCAGTTTATAGTCATGGTAGCAGTACTGCTCTGTCATTTCAGATGTTCCCTTTTAGTGGAGATCATTGAGATCATTGACTTCAGATCACAGGCCTCAGAAAGGCATTGTGCAAATGTAGTGCTGAAAATTGTTCTTGCGGTTGCCTCTGGAAAACTTCATAAACAAGCCTGTCATTGTGTTGAACCTACTACTACACTGAAGTTCACATATTACACAGCTGGTCTACCAGATTGTGGAGCTGCATGTCTACACTGCAGATTTAAGAAGTAATTAAAGTGTAAATTATTAAATATGTTCTGTGATATTCTTTTTGTACTTGTTTTCTCCTTGCCGCTTTGTTTCTTGTAGTTCACTCCCCCGTCTTCTTTTACATACTTATCTTTCTGGGCCTATACTTCCAGAAGTGTATTTTTATCCTTTTTAGTCTTTGTCCCACAAATAACCTTGAGATTGTCGGTAAGCGTCTTGATATTGGGTTTGGCTCTGGTGCCCTGGGGGTAGGGAGCCCGAGCTTGACATTTCACTCAGGACATGGAACACTGCCTTTTCATAGATGGCTGCTATCACAGAAACCTCTTGGAATTCTGTAATAAAATCACTCCTCTTCACTACATTGGTAATAGATCCTGTATGTGTTAGGGGATGATTATCTGTATGTCAAGCTTTCACATTTTATTTTTCTATTGCTTTCACTTACTTGGGCTTTCCTGTTAAATTAAAATTTCTAACTCTGCATTGAGCTTCAGAGGATCTCAAGACAGTATTTACGTAGGAGAATGCTTTTGGGAATCTAACGGCTACCTGTTAATGTCACAGCACCACTCCTACAGAGAGCTGCTTTGAAGAGAGGAGATTGCTATTGATTTCACTGTTTGTATCTGTTCGTGGACTTGCTGTTGAATTGCCGCTAAACTCTGTCTGAAAGCTAATGTGGGCTTCACATGTATCATGGAAGATGTGTGCTAGGAGCGGATTTGAAATGGCTTGGAAACTGCTTAAAGCTCACATATTAAAGGAGGCCTATCGATTGTAAACACTTTTGAATTTAATAATGAAAACTACTTTAGAAATGTATTTGTTTGTAGTTATTAGGCCGGCACAATGTGCAACGTTAATATCAACATTGCATTTTATGGACTTTCAATCTCTTGGATCGTGATAATCAGCTGGGCTGAGATTAGAGCTGTTACTGCTATCACTTGATTAAACTGGATTACTCGATTTTAAAAACGGCATTGATTTAAAATTTGCCTTCTCGATTATTCACCAATATGGCGGAAGGAAGACTAAGCGTAGCGGACGAGGGTCCAAATAAGGAGCGGAAGCCTCAGTTATGTGGAACCAGACTTTCAGGTTTGAGAGACCTGTCCAATAATGCAAAGCCATAGTTTATAGTTATCTATGTGCCCTTTAACCTTATGCACTAGCCTATCCTGTCTTTGTTACTTGCTTTAAATCATTTTGCTTAAATTACTTTCCACTCTTTCCGTATCTCAAGATAATCACTACTAAAATGAAGGCAAGCCCCCTGGCTTATATAGCCTAATAGAACTTATGTTTTTTCATGAACTCTGCATGTGTTCTCCAAGCGGACCATTTTCGTCCGTGCAATCAGACTGAAAGACAGTGTGGTGCGATTCTGAGAAATGTAACGAAACGAGAGAGGAGGAGCAAAGCAAACAACTGGTTGCCAAAAGACATTCATGTTCCCATGTATGAAAATATTTAGAATTTTATAGAGACGATATTGAGCAAAAGCAGGTTTTGTGTCGGCAATGCGTCATGCAGAACTCGCGGAAACACCCCCAGCTTATCTGACAGACTCTGCTGTAGATAAGTCCAGTTTGGCTATACTTTATTTTGGGTATATTTTCAACTCTGTTTTGCTTCATACATCCCGCAATATTTATTGCAAAAAAACCTCACTTTACATTATTTGATTTTTTCCCCAGTACCATGCAGCCCTACTTGTTTAATTGGCTGATAATGTGCCACATGCAATCCCAATGGGCTGCTCTGTTTGTCACTCCTGCACTGAGGGTATGTGTTTGTGTAGTTTGCACATTCTCACCCTGTCACATGGGTTTCCTGCAGGTACTCTGAGTTTCTAATGTCTAACGACAGGCTGCTATGCTATTTAGCACCTGTTAATTTCCGGGAGTGTGAAATCGTGCGTGCGAGTTTGTACCCCGCCAATGACCTGGCATCCCATCCAGGGTGAACCTCTGACTTGTGCCTTATACTCTCTGGCATAGGCCCTATGCTCCCTGGGACCATCTGCAAGATAAGTGATAGAAAGCTGGAGTTATGGATTAGTTGATAGTCTAATTGCCATGTCCATACAGATCCGTTATAGGTGGGGCTTTTTAACGTGTTGTTTTTGACAGTTTATTCATGCATTTCCTGATGTTGACAACTAACTGCAGTGGTGGTGTTGGCTGGCCTATGAGATGGCTGGAGCAGTCTGTGGACAGATGATTTCTCCTACACTGGCTTATATAGTTCCGAAAGGAAGCTATAATGTGTGAGCTTAATAGTGTGCATTTCCCTGGATGCAAATGCTTGTGCATTATCTGGAAAGTCGAGAGCTCTTTACCATTGGCTTTCACGTCCTAATGAGTCTTATTGGCGATTTCCATTTTCAGGCCCCTCCAAGCACAGCCCCAAGAGTGCCGCCGACAGCGAGCACGCAGCCTGCCATCATGAAGCCGACAGAGGAGCCTCCCGCCTACTCCCAGCAACAACAGTCACAGGTACTGTGCCGCTCTGTCACCCTCTGTCTCTTCCCACCTTTTACACCGTTTTGCCAGCCTGTTGTCTTTCTCATTCTTCCAGAAGCTGTCCTGTTTGACTCAATCTCATCAATTGCATAGATGCTTTACTTCCCTGTCGTTGTTCAATCAGATGTCAGTTATGTTTTTGTGCATGATGTCACTCTGCAGCGCTTTCCGTTCAAAGTAAATAAAAATAAGTTTTTAAAGATGCCATTTTTGTAAATAATTTCTACAGGCAAGCAACAAATGGCAAAACGAACATCATCATTCAAACTGTTAGTAGGACCCTTTACATTTAGATAAAACAATGAGATGGTGTCATGGTGACTGTGAATCTGCATACTTTTTCCCCAGGTGAAGTGGCAGATATGTATGAACTGCAATGCCATGGTCGCATTAATAACGAATGATTGTCTGGCCCAGACCTGATTCAGGAACTCCATCTTTACCCTCCTGCAGGATCAGGCCCGCGCTCAGGCTGAGCTGCTGCGGAGGCAGGAAGAGCTGGAGAAGAAGGCAGCCGAACTGGACCGGCGGGAGAGGGAGATGCAGTCCCTCAGTGCCTCAGGTGAGAGCCTGCAGGACGAAGCAGTTGCCTTTGTTGAATACGTTAGAATGTAATTGCAAAGTAGCTGGACAATGGCACCCTAGGGAAAATTTCTGAATAGTATTTAAAGACCATCCTCAGCAGGTGTTAAAACAATGTCTTTGTTCTTCAGAATAACGGAAGTTGATTCCTACAAAAATAAGACATGGAAAAACAAAGGATGTGTTTTTCTTTCCTTTTAGGAAGGAAAAACAACTGGCCTCCTCTTCCAGAGAACTTTCCTGTTGGCCCCTGTTTTTACCATGATATTGCTGTAGACATACCTGTAGAGTTTCAAAAGACCGTCAAGATAATGTACTACCTATGGATGTGTGAGTACTTTGCTAATGGCGATGATCATTGCAGCATGAATGCAGATTACCAATAGTAAAGTGCTTTCAGCTAATATTAGTGTTAAATAAATCAAAGTGAACTCTCACTTGAAAAGCTTTTTAAAAGCTGATTGCCAAATGCTGAAAGTTCTCCAATGTTCTACCGCAATTCCGCTATCAGTCCACACGGCGACGCTGTTTGTGAACATCTTTGGCTGCCTGGCCTGGTTCTGCGTGGACAGCACACGGGGAGTGGACTTTGGCCTGTCAATGCTCTGGTTCATGCTCTTCATGCCCTGCTCCTTTGTCTGCTGGTACAGGCCGCTGTACGGAGCCTTCAGGTGATGGCAATAGCCCTGCTTCCTCTGAAATTGAAAACCTGTAATGAATTGGCCTTTGTGTAATTTCGATTTTTTTTTTAATTTTTTTTTTAAAACAAAAGGGACATCCTAGGATTTAAAGGACTTCTAACTGTGTGCCCTTCTGTTGCAGGAGTGACAGTTCCTTCAGGTTCTTTGTGTTCTTCTTTGTATATATCTGCCAGTTCGGCGTCCATGTGCTGCAGGCCATCGGCATTACAGGCTGGGGAGCGAGGTCAGTTGGCCGTCCACTTGTGCTGCTCCCTGTGGGAACATTCCTGCTGTTGTTCTGCTCATCTTACCCTAATTTGCACTAATCTTGTCTCGTAGCCATTGGGGAAATTGCTCAGGATAGGAGTGTTACGTAACCAAATGAATGTGGGTGGGATAATGAAAATTCACTATGTGATTCTGTATATGTGTTTTCATTGATAATCTCTCATTAGTTCGTTGCTCTTCAGTAGAAATGTTTAAGTGCAGTATGCTGACGCGAGCCGCACAGGACGTATACGGTGACATCGTCCTGAAGGCCCTTCCATTCTCCTCCACCCCTGTCTCCAAACAGTGGCTGGATCTCAGCCCTCACAGGTCTGAACAAAAGCATCCCTGTGGGCATCATGATGATCCTCATCGCAGCACTTTTCACTGCCTCCGCCGTTGTTTCACTGATCATGTTTAAAAAGGTATAGTACCGTTCCCCTCCTGTACGCTGTGTATGTACCGAAAACCGTAGACATCCCTTTCAAATGAGGTCCTGGAGGACTGCAATTTGTCCTGGTCAATTAGTGACTAAAGATTTAACTAATTTCTGCACTGAGACAATAATAAAGTGCCTATTTAATTTAATAAGTATTCTACTGTGTCCCCTGGGCACTGAAGTTAGGACCTTTTAATCTTACTTGTAGTTGTTGAAATGGTCTAAATTATGAAGTATGTCATCTACTGTCTGTTTTTTTTTTTTCTTTTTTTTCTTAGCCCCATAAGTGCTTTAATTCGTAGTGTAATTTTCCCATAATCAGGCACTACCACAGTAGGACTAGTGTGGCCAAACAGGCAATGCATTTGTGGGACAGTTGAGGTAGCTGGAGGTTCAACAGCTGGTCTGCCTCAGTCTGCTGGTACTTCAGTACGAGGCACAGAATTAGTAACTACCAGGGGTTGCCCAGTGAATGAAGCCAGTGAGAGTACCAAAGCACTTTCATTTGTTACCAGGGCTGGTTTCCCACCACATTCTCCTTTATCTTTACTCAATGTGTCACTTAGTATCAGGATTGCCTGCCCTTTCAGCTCTTTTGAGTTGATTTAAGATTCAGCCTGTAGGCTGGTCTCAGCCCAGCTTTTTTAATGCAGTGGATCAACTCTGGGCACAGAACACAAAGTAATATAAATATTGACCACACTTCCCCTGGGAAGCGTTTGGACCTCTGTGGCAGTATTCTGTGAGTTCTGAGACTATTCCGTGGATCTCCTTGTCTGGCAGGTCCACGGTCTATACCGTACCACTGGTGCCAGCTTTGAGAAGGCGCAGCAGGAGTTTGCCACGGGCGTCATGGCTAACAAGACCGTGCAGACGGCAGCTGCCAACGCTGCTTCCAGTGCGGCCCGGGGGGCGTTCAAGGGAGGTCAGATCTGAGTGACCTCAGGATCTCTGCTGCAATCTCCCTAGACCTCGGTGAGCAGACCCACACCACACCAACCCAGGCTGTGTGGAGACTTCACTGAACCCTAACGCTTAATAAACACTCCCTTTTGAAGGGGAGGAACAACTCTGATCCCACCCCTTCCATGTCATTCAGCATGTCTTTATGATCGAGCCCCAATATTTTCAAACTTGGTAAATGAGCTAAGAAAACTAAGCGCAAAAGCTTGTCACTTTGAGTCACATCTGTAGTGGTCCTAATTAGTATTTTCAGCCCCAGTTGGTTATAACATGACTAGTGTTGGTCTGTGGAGGGAGCTGGTTTACCTTGCCATACTGGAAGGATATCAGTGTGTGTTTATAAACTCTGAAGGTTTTTTTTTTTTTTTTTTACCATTTCATTCATCCTAGTACATTTCAAAAATCTCAAATGGCTATAGGACCTGGATGGAAAATCAGGCCACTTTAATGTTAATGTTGACCCGTCGGCTGACTAGTTTACCAGGCTTTGCGTAAATTGCATCAGAATGGCTTGATAAACTAAAATGTAAAGAGAACTGCAGGTTGAGTCAGCCCTTCTGCTTGTCCTTCAAGCCTCTCAGAGCTGGACTTGCTTCTGCTTGTGGGCATGCTGGGTAATCCCATAATGCTGTTTGTGTGTGTGTGTTTGTGTGTTTGTGTGTGTGTGTGTGTGTGTGTCAGTGTTCCCACCGCAATGTAGAAGTTGGAGCAGGCATAGGGAAGGCAGATGGCATCCTGCATCATGTTTTGTGCCACCATTTCTCATCCTTTTTTTTTTTTTGTAATTTTTTAAAATGTTAGCCAAATGTTTAGCATTAACCTAATGTTTACATGACAGATGTCTGTTACGGGAGTAGCTAATAAGGCTAATATATTATAATGGAGAGACTCATTCTGACGTTCTGTGACGGTGGCCCAGTCGCTGCAGCCTGGCCTATTCTGTAACGTGCTTTACTTCCATTGCACAGCTGCCCTCTTGCCAAGGCAATGTTGAATTTGTTTGCTGGCTGAAAAGTTATTGCTGGTTCTCGCTGCGCTTGTCAGGCACTTGCCTCCCTGCTAACAGCCCCTGGTTGATCAGGTCTTATTTCTGCAAATAAATGAGAACAGTCAGATTTAATTGCAGAAGTATAGTAGTCTGCTTCTTAGAGGTGAACATTTCTGTGGTGCGTTTATTAAAAACACAAGCCCCCCCCCCCCCTTTTTTTGGTTATGGCAAACACACATTGCTTCAGAATCCAAAGCTCATGCGTTAAGGCTGCATCAGAAAAACAATTGTGCTGTTTGTTGATCAAGTTTGCAGGACCACACTTCACGGGAGTCCCTCTACATCGGCACCTACTGGCTACATCATGGTCATTGTTGGAGTAATTTTAATTGGCTGAAATGGTGTGCATGTTTATGTAAGAATACTCTTTCTTCCAGGAATAATGCCCCACCTAATGCAAGTAAGAGCATAATATGTTTATTGGTATATTAAAAATCATTATGGCTTTAGTCTATTTGCAAAACAGAACCCATTTATTGTAGTAACCGGTCCTAGATTTGAAAGAGTGGTTCAAAGTGAAGCGATTTCCCTCTCAATATACTGCTTTAGCTGTGATAGTTCCCTTCAGATGGCCCCCTGATGGGAAGACCCTGTAAATATTTGTGTGGTGCTTCCTCTGCAGTCTTTCTGAAACCCACAATTCACTATTTGAAATCCTGTGTGCTCTGATGTGCCAGATGCTTTTGTGTCGATGCATTTCATTGGCTAAAAGGATTTCTAAGGATCTAGGATCCTAAAGTCATAGTCTGGCTGGGTTCTAGTGATCATCCACCCACTGACACCTGTCATATGGCTTAGTGTCTGTGTACTTGGGAATAGGCATTGTTCATCATATTCTACATGTCTAACCAGTGGGTGAGAGTGTTATTTGGTTCTATGCACACCTGTGCCCAAATATAAAGTTTGTACTGATTGCATTAATGAAATAAAACGCCAGCCTTTTCATAATGAACAAAAATTCAAAGGTATTTAAAACCAGGAATGCTCAGGACATGTAAATTAAATGCATGAGAAAATGTCTAACATAGTCCCCTGAACTAGGGTGATCTGCACGATTGAATAAATATTCACCGCCAAGTTTTTAAAAAAAGGTCTCAGAAGTGATATTATGACTGCTGTCCAAACTGCTAAACGTTTTCACTGGGCAGTGAAATCAAATGTCAGGAGTGTTTGGTTTATTTAATTTATTTAAGGGTAGGTAAATATTTCATGGCTGACATATGGGGGGGGGGGGGAATAGAACTCAGTATAGCCATTTCATGCTGTTTTGTATGTGTTTTTTTTTATTTTTTTAATTAGTATTTGGTAACTTGATTAACTGGGCAATGGGGGAGGCTAAGATTATTTTTAACTCAGTATTTTTGCTTGTTTTTCATTTTTTCCTTCTGTCTGCCACATATGCCCAGCTCCCCCAGGATCTTACCTGTAGGGCAGCAACTTAATATCTTAATATACCTTAATATCCAGATCCTCTGGCTGTCATTGTGATTACAGTAGAGTTTCTGAAAGTCATGCGGATGTGGTCATTGTTAGAACAGAGGCTTGGTATATGGTGTCATTAACTCACTTAAGTGTGAGAATTTAAATTAAATATTCTTCAAAAATGAATTACAACGTGAACCTGCCTGGGTCACCACATTTTCAGCTCTGTAAACTGCAGAAGCTCCCCTCCACATTAGTGATTATTTTACAGATTTCTCTGTCCTCAATTTCTCTGCTTGTCTGTCTGCTATACTGCAGTAAATCTTGTTTAAAAAATTCCAACAATGTACATTGATGTTCCTTTTGCCCCACATTTTTTATAATTGCTCATTTGAAAATTTAACTGGAAATTCCATTCTGTGTGAGGATTTCTTTTCTTTCTCATCATTGCTTCTAGTTTTACTTAATTTTAACTAATAATGTGTGTAGTGGAACAGCACTGAAAGTACCAATGGTTGTAATGCAGATTATGGTGTTGTCATTTACCAGTGGACTAAGGGATGTTTGTATATTTTGTAAATTTGGCAGTGTCCTGTACAAATGCACTCTTGTCTCTTTCCCTCTTGCATGTTGAGTAGTTTAAGTTTTGTATATGTATTTAACACTAAATAAAATGCAACTACTTCACTCAAAAAAGTACCATTTATTTTTCCAATGCAGACATGGGTCTTGATCTTCCTTTCAACACAGATGCCAGTTTGCATACATAAGTGAGAACTGTAGTCTCACATTCCACAGTTTACTCTTTTGCCCTGTTTTTTTTTTTTTTTTTTAAGTGTAGAAGTTGTGTGGTTACTGTTGCCCGTGAGTGCTTCTGTGTACTTTCGATTTATTTGTGGAAGTATATTAGAGTACCTCCCTCCTTAGTTATAGGACATGAAAGCAAAATAAAGATGACGACTGTTAAATTGACGCTCTAACCAAGCTAATATGGGGTTCCTGAGGTATTTATGGGTGCAATGTTTGGGTGGCTTCAAAAATGTTCCTTTTGAAACTGCGTCTGTAAATATCAAGCTTCTGTTCACTCTGTTCATAGTGAAACAGGAAGGTAGAAACACTAAAAGATTTCAGTTTATCTAGGTTATTGTTGTCACACAGTCTCTCCTGGGTTTTGTTACCTATAAGTTTTACATAAACTTGTGTGTAACCTAGATATGGTAACCTATAGCTCATACAGGAAGACTTATGGGTGAACGTGTGTATTAATTTGACTTGATCCATTTGTATTTAAAAATTCAATAAAATTATATAAAATCATTTAAATTGGTTACTGAAGAGCATTGACCTAATAATGTACTTAATTGGACTTGTGGATCTATAATTACACATTAAGAGCCAATGTGTATTTGTAAAGCCTTCTTACCAGGAAAAAAAGCTTAAAAATGTCAAGCTAAACAATTGTCTGAATTTAATGAGCAGCAATGAATCGTAAAGTTATTTAGCTGGAACAAAAACCACCATCTATAATGATCTCCCAGGGCAAAGTTTGTGAACTAATCAGAAAAGGGAAACGGAAGCTCCACCATCAGTAGCCAGTAGAGGGCAATGTGTCCCTGGAAAAATACAGATTTTTTTTTTTTGGAATTTTTCATTTATACAGGTTGGTGTTGCTAAGTACCACTGTTTTGTATTCATTGTAGTCATTTATTCCTTTGCTTTACATATGCATTTGAGAAAAGTCCTTGTTTGGTCAAAATAAACCACCACCATAACCAGCAAGGTTCTTTTTTTTCTTCATAAAGGTTCTTCTCTTCTCTCTGTGTGCTCTTTTTATCTTCTCATGTCTTCATTGGAATTAAAGAAAAATATGATCTTTTCATCCTCATGATCTAAAATAATCACATTTATCTAAAACAGACATTTCTACATTGAAGTCCCCCTATAGTCCATTGAAGCCTAACAAACAGGATTGTTGAAGCACAAGCCACCATATACATGTACATTCCTAGGACCTGGTTTGGAACCAGAAATCGTTGCAGGACTGAGGCGGCTTTGACACGATATGTCACAGACTACCAGGATTAAGAAGTATTATTTATTTATTTTACACTAAAATCTCCTGAGGTCCAACAGATGCATTTTTTAGATTCCCGTGAAACTGTTCGCTAGGTCTACTTAATGAACCTTAGTTCAGAAAAGATGCAGAGGCCTAGAAGGGATATATATATACGGTCTCATTAAATGATGCTCATCATCATTGCCCCTTTGAAGCTGGGTTGTGCTATAGCCTGCATCCCATACTTTGAAGTCTGTGATGATATTTTCAGAGGCTCACCAGGCTGATGACTAAACTACTTATGTCATTGTTTTGTCTTAGTTTGGTAGTATATGGTTCACTTAGTATATGATGATCTAATTCATTCCCTACAGTTGGCAACAATTATGAATTATTTACAATTGGAATATAATTTGGTGCAAATAATTTTATGGAGCACAAATGGTGTTGCGGTTATTTGCCAGAGCTTAGCTCCCAGAAGAATCCATTACCCTGACTCCCCTCACATTTAGTCTCTCTGTTGCATGTTGTTTTCTAGCAACTAATAATCACTCAATTGGAAAAAGCGCCAAAAATGGATTTTCCTCATTTGGTTTTTGTGTGTTATAAACAGAACCAGATTTATTCATATCCGGGGAGCTCAAGTCCTTAATGTTGTGTGAACTTCTGTGTCAGTGTGAAACGATTCCCTTGATAAACGCCTGACATACAGAAGGCAAAATAATCACCCAAAAAGGGTGAAATATCATGGACAGCTCTCCCACCAAACGGACACTGACACGGTTGGAACTGTTGTCAATTTGGCATGAGTAGGGAAACAAACACAGCTGTTATTTTGTACGAGATCAGATCTTTTCCAGGATAAGGACATTCTGTCCTAAGGTGCAGGATGCCTCCACCCTACTTCCACTGAACCTTAGTCTGGCTCTTCGTTAAGGGTGTAGCTTTGGTTTCCACCCACCCCACCCCCACCCCCTAAACACACGCAGTACCCCCACTATATTGGTAGGAACACGTCCCTACCATCCAAACCGAAATCTACGCTCTTTTTCTTTTTCTATTTCTTTGCTAAAACAGTACAATATGCTACAGATGATTTATTTTCTTCTTGTAATGTCAGTAATAAATTTATCAGAATAGTAAGACTTGAACTGTGGTATCATTTATCAAAGTTTCCCCAAACAAAGACAAAATGGACTGGTCTTGGGCATAAAACTCCCAGGCTAAAAATTAATCCAATTCCTGTATAGCGCTGTAAATGACAATCCTCTAATAAGCACCACCAAAATGTAATAATTGTTTAAAATAATAATTTTATTGTTTAGGCTAGAGCCACATTTTTGTAGAGCAGGACACGATAACCTAAAACAGTGCAAAAATATTGAAGAATTGCCTTTCCGAAAAATGAAAACAGACGCTGGAAATATGCATCACAATAAGCCGTTAATGTATGCAGTATTTGAAAAGGTAAAGCACATGGGCTTATGCTCAGAGGATAATCAAACCATGTAATGTTCTGTCCGCTAACAGGCTGGGCAATAAGCTAGCTAAGGTTAGCTATACAAGCTAAAATTACTGTGAGCCAACTAGTTAGCTACTTACAATAAAAATTACGAAATATCAGGGCAAAATGTTAGAAACAAGGATCACATCTGTGCACAAGTCATTTACTACATATGAGCTGGTACCTTCAAAACAAAAAATTCAGGATCTGAACCTTATATTAGCATATCTTGCACTTGCTTAATAATTGTTAGTATTTCACCATTGTTTCTTTGTGTCTGTGTGTTTAGTTTCAGTATTAATTGTGATTCAGCTAGTAAGTCGCATGTTATTGTACTTGAACCTTAAGTAATGAGTAAGACAAAATTACATTCTCACAGCAGATCTATGAAGACAATATTATTTGAATACAGTCTTCTGCAATATTCCCCTTTCTACTATGGGTACAAATTAGTACAAGATATTTTTTAAATCTTTTGTAATGCTTTTTGGTTTGTCATCTCAGGTTTTCACCAACTGTGTCCTGCACATGCACTAAGCATTATTATCAGTTGTGGGAGATGTTCAAGCTTAAGAATACAGTTGCTGATGTAAGACCTTATGTGGAACACTGAGCATGCTAAAGTATCTCGGGGGATGTTCTCCAAGCAGGTAGAACCTTTTTTGGCAGAGCAGTGCTTCCCCCTTGCAAAAGACACTTTTGGTACCAGTCTGTGAATTTCTTTCCCTGACACATTTCTTCAAAGATGTAGGGGGAAGAGAAATAGGGGCCAAACCTGTGTCTTCCCCCTTTTTCATTTTTGGCAGTGAGCTAGTGAGTAAAAAAAGCCTAAAACAAACATAAAAAGGATAAGAAAGGAATGCCGGAGGAGATTTGCCGGCATTGTGGTTTAGTACAGTCCCTTCCTTCTTCTGTGCGATATTTCCAGCAAGTCTTGAGTTAGCTAATTGGCTCCTTTTCTGTCATGTCACAGACAAATGTAAGCCAACAGAGAGAAGTCCACAGTAATTCCCCCCATGAATAAATCCTTAAGTTGACTTGCTGGAGGAACATCACCAGTGAACATTTGATTTATCCTTGCGAGGTCTTCATCTGATGAAAAGGGCATCAGCTATTTAGTCAGTTACGCATCTTCCAATTCTTGTCCATCTGCATGCTGATTTTAAAAGTCATGCTCAGTTGTGTAGCTACGGTAACATAATAATGGGAGTCACCATAACTATATATACAAAATGAAGCAACCTTTGGTAAATCTAGTGATTTTCAAGGTTGACCAAAAATACATTTCACATTTTCTTTGAGGTTCTGTACATTATATACAAGAATATTTACAATCACTTGATGGCAGAGTAACTCTTCCTTATACTGTAGACAGGCTATTGAAAGATTAGAATTGGGAAATAAAAAAATAGAGCCAAAAATAGTGGTCAGAGTGGTTGAAGGTTGTAATCTTAGTGGCACTAATGTTTTTATACTTTGGTGGCCTTCTTTTCTGAAGGCCAGGCCTGGTCCTCTTGTCTAAAGGAGGCAGATGAGACTCTTGCCTTCCTCTATCTCCTCCTGCACCTTGTCGCTGGAGGTGGCGATCTCAGCCTGAGCCGAGAAGATGGCGCAGAGGAAGGTGAGCACCGTGCCGCCGATGGCCGTGTAGAAGGCCCAGCCAAGAGAGCACAGGCCCACTTTGTACGGGGAGGCGTCCGCTCCGCAGTAATCCTGGGCCTTTTTGGAGCCCCAGCCAGCAGGGTACAGCATCAGGCCCAATATCAAGAAGAGACCTTGGGAAGAAGGAGAAAATGCCCTGGTCAGACATGTACTTCCTCTTCATACCTGAGACAAACTCATATGCGGTTTTGCTGTTACAATGTGATTTTTCCCCCCTTGTTCATAAGACTCACAATCTGTCTGATAAACCCTGCTTATATTTTCTTTCAGAAGAATATATAGTATAATAAAGAATAATCTGAGAAACATCCTTTAAAATCCTTTAGTCATATATAAGCATTTCACCTTGGTATTATGGGGCAAAGATGGTGTATGACTGACTAAATAATTATAAATACAATACATTTTTATAAGAATATGAGACCTTCGTAGGAGCACAACATCAGACTTGTGGATTGTGGTGTAAGTACTTCATATCGGAGCATATTCCGTGTTGCCATTCAACTGACATGCTAAATCTGTTGTTTTCCGGATAATAGTTAATGTTTGAATTTACATTAAAGGAAAGATATATATTGAAAAAGATATATCAACAGGAAACATCTTGATATAATTATGTGGAACTAACCACATAATGACTATGAAACTTGAGCAAGCACCTATGTAAGGCAATTTGCTGTGTAGGGAAGCACATGTACCATTACAATTACTTAACAAGGCCAATGTCTGCAGCCCAGAAGATTCTCAGGATAGTTACCAAAGTAAGCTGGTGAAAGATAACCTTTTATTAAGACCAAAGTGAAGCAAGACAAAACCCCTTCCTTTTCCAGGAAAAAAGCAATTTCCTCAAATCAAAATATTGCATCTTGCAATGACAGCTGGATTAATATCCTGTTGATTTGGGCCTAAAGACCTTCAGAGATTTGGCTTCCACTGGACCCCCGAGTTGCCTGCACTCTGCAGACGTGTCCTGGAGCGTTGCTACACAAAGGAAAACAGCCACAGTGATGGTCTTATCCATGTGGAGACACCTGTGTTTGGCTAATGATAACACTGTAAAAATAATGCCTCACAGCAATATTCCTGAATTTGGAGTGCAGAGACTAAGCTGGATGAGCGCGATTGGTTGGGGGGTGAGCAAGCGGACATTTCTTGTGATCTACCACCCTTTGTAACTACATGACAGTAAAGTTCTGGTTATGAGATTTTTAAATGTTTTTAACACAAGTCAGAAAATGATTTCTGTGTTAGCAATCAGCCTGCTAGCGAGCCTGTGGGGGAACACCTGCGGAAACTGACGATGTCATAACGGAAGCAGGGAAACCCACGTCAGCTTAGTCCTTGCAGTCTCCCAGACCGGCCCCAGCCGACGCCGATTCAGTCCCCAGGGTTATGAAGACAGCCCAATAGTAGGAAGGCAGAGTGACATCCTACCAGCCCCCGATCCCCTCAAGTCCAGAACCATATTAGTAAAAGCGGAAATAAAATCTAGGTCACAAATTCCTTCCACGTGTTTTTTGGCTTGACTTCTGTTGCTGTTAACCCGTGGATGGCAGGGGGGTCTTACAATTCGTCAGAGGGGCTGCTCAGTTTGGGGCATGTGGAGCACTGAAGAAGTGGCAGAATTGTCCTGTGGCTGGTCATTTGTGCAGGTCAATTTAAACGTGCTCCTGGGCCAAATGTGAAATCATTATTTGTCTGGGCAGGGGATCAGCCATCAGTTAAAGTGGCTCTTATTATAAAATCTAATAACCCAAAAAAGGGTTTTGCTTCTTGAACTGATCTGCTTCAATTTGGAAAAGTGCATTAGGGAAGTTCAAACACTATGTGCCTGTGTCTAGATCTCTATTCTGCATCATGCCAAAGTATATAACAATTAGCTGGGTACAATGTAATCCCTGATAAATGCACCCAAGAGATATATAGGTGATTCTGACTCTGTTGGATATAGAAATCTACCACTTTCATTCATTGTTAAGGTAAAAAAAAAAATGTCAGATAAATTAAAACGAGTAGTTGACCTACTGTCAAACATCCAACCTATTTGAGGTTTGTAGAGCAGAAAAAAACTATAATTCTCTACTTATTAAAAAGGATATATAGGAAAGAAGCTTCTGCATAATTGAGGGTGGTTCTTGTAAGTGTAAAGGCAGTTAGCGTAGTGGAATCAGTAGTGGGTGTAAACAGTGCACAGAGCCCTTGATTCTGGCAGCGAGGGGTCAATGGTGGTACAGAAGGCCAGAGCAGAGGAGGGCAGCAGTGTTAAGCGGAGACTGCAGACAGATGCAGACATTCCCCAGGGGGAAACCAGAGTTATATGGAGCCACTCAATGAGAAAGATGATAGAGGCAGTCAGGCTCTCACATGGACTATGGCTCCGTATGCAAATCACCACCAGGATGAATGTAAACAGAACCTTGTGTTTCAGTACTGTGCTTTATCATTGAAACAGAGTTTAAAGTTACCCTATTATTTTGATTCAGTTCTTGGTTTCATTTGTCACAAAGGTACCTTAAGAATGAGACAGAGAAAATGTTTGGGTATTAAAGACCACAAATTGTGTCCTAGATAAAACAGTCCATGAAGCTTTACCTTTACTAAGAGCATCAGTAAGACTGCATGGGGTGAAATATTAAAGCATTCTGTTTAAAACTGATCCTGGATTTACCAAGATTCCACTCAGTAATCCTGCCCTTCACTACAAGGACTATTTGTTGCTGTTGTAAAACACACGAAATGCATCTATACCATAAATGAAAACTCCACCAAAAACATCAAAGCAGTCTTAATGCACCATGGCACAGTGTTTACAAGTCTTCAGATCTCTACTGAAGGCACTGCAGCATAATTCTTTCACAAGAAATTCCATCTTCTGGTGTTTTGCTGATGCTGTTGGAAAACACATACTCGTGTATCATTGCAAAATCTCCCAGAAGTTTTGAAGTGGATAGACATGATCATGACTGACGGATGATGACTGACATTTGGAGACAGTTGGTGCTGGTTATTGGATTTGTACTATATCTCTAACCAATGCACAGACAACACAGTCAAGGAATGTTTGCTATCGTTCACATCATCCCTAGTTTATGGAGTCTTCCATGCCAGCTTCAGCTTAATCATTGTTCCTCATAAAAAACTGGGAAAAAATGTTGATGGAATGTTCTAGACTGACACATCTGTGAAAGGCATCCTGTTATGCAATTTGGGAGGCATACACCATCTGTGATGGAAGTGGAAAAGAAAATAGTAATGCAATTACTGTCAAAATGGATACTTAAAACAGCACAAATTTTCTGAATGTTAAAACTTGCTGTTGATCGATAGAAATCTTTCTTCATTCACATGGTACTCTAGCTATGGAGACTACCTGATTTAGTGCTTATTAATGATATACAGAATTGTCAATCCTTATTGGTTATAAAAAAAAATTGTTTACCCCACAAGCTTATAGTTGCTCACACCCCATTGGTAGAAAAGGGGTGGATGGAAGTGAAATGTAGCCATTAGCGTGTGACTCCTGATGCTGGGTTTTTCCAGCAGGTTAGGTTGTGCTCTGATTGGCAAGGTGCCAGCCTACTGCAGGAGACTTTTGTGCCTCTTTTGCCTCTGGGCTGGGAGTTTGGTCACTGCACAGGCCTGGGAGCAAAGCCAGGAATGTCTGGAGGCTCCGGCCTGATGGCTGCAGCAGGCAGGAGGTGAGAACAATGCAACAGAAGAAAAATAAACAGAGAACTTCCCACTTGATGGAAAACTATACATTTCTTCATAAAAACATCTTTGTACCACAAGCTGTTTCTGTACCTATATTAATTTAACTTTATATTAAAGTGACATGGTGTAAATTTCACATTGTCTGCCCATGTAGTCTCTGGGCAGCTGCTTTTCGGAACAATTTCACAGATGGACTGAAAAGGCTTTAATTAAAATATTTCAGGTGTTCTGAAACCTTACAGCTCAAAACTATATGCACGACCATGATAATGAGTGTAATCTACCCTGCAATACTTCCCATGATTCACATAGAAGTGTCCATCTTACAAAATTTGATTTGAACAAACCTCTAGATGACTGAGAACAAAGCAAAAAAATGTAGCATCCTTCCCATTCAATAATCCCTCTCACTGCAGATAATCTCCCCCAGCCCTGAAAACAGTCACTGCTTTGTCTATGAGCTCCTCTGCAAGGTCAAAGTTCAACAAGTCAATTGCTTAAATTGAATTTTCAGGGTTGCTATTTAGTGACATCAGCCATTAACTGATGACCTTCCCCTCCCCCACACCACTTCCTCTAACAATTCGGCTGCCCGCGCTGCTCCTCCCCGCAGACCCGTGCATTATCACTCACTGGCAAATGCTGACCGTCAGAAATGACATGCATTTAAATTGCAGACAGACCTAATCTCACATTACACCTCTTCGTGCTGCATAGTAACTTCTGGTAACTAACGCAAGCATCTGCATGTGCAATCAAGCACTGCTGTATTTCTGCGTTTAAAGAGGCAGGACCTGCAGCAATGCTACGCCGACCCAATCTTGTCCACACAGGTATGGAGTGCGGTCGTTACAGCACTGGACCTAAAACCATAAAGGTGTCATTTTACATCACAAGAAAGTACGTTTGCCTTTCAGAAAAATGCTAAATCAATTCAATTTAACCCTATATTTAATCAATATCCATACAAATAGAAGAAGACGTAACCTTTAATCGCCACTTTTCATATGTGTCTGCTAATATGGTGTTTCTCAAACCAGTCCACGCTGACCGCCAGACAGTCCACATTTTGCTACCACCCAGCTCCCAGAGAGGGAGCAGAAACATGGACCGTCTGGGGCTCCCTGAAGTCTGGGCTGAGAAACACTACGCTAACAAATCATCATTGTTTCACGGAAATACAAAAACTGTTGGAAGTAAACATGCCTGCCACTCAAAGTGTATAAATGCCATTTATGATGATATTGGTCTGGCCATCACCTAACCATCCTGATTTATTCTAAGTTTCCTAGTAGACTGTCATAATGTTGTATGATCCCTCATTCCTTTTCCCTATTTACTTATCCCATTTCAGGTGATAAATTCTAGCCTTTTCTTCAAGAAAACAAGGCTAACTGCCCACCTTGTATTGTTTTATTAAAATCCAAAGTTGCAAATCTTATTTAACAGAGTTGGGTGAAGCATAAGTGCATTGTTATGTAAACTTCATGGCGTAGAGACAGGGCTAACTTCTGCCGCTCAGAATCGTAGAATGAGGCAAAACAAGATAGGATTGAAGAACTGCTCCTACATCTGTGATTTCAAAGGGCCAACAGTAAATGCAGGACCTGCTGTTGCTAGCGCGTTCCCTACTCCCCTTACCATGTAAACCTCTCTAGAGAACCTTGTTTACACCATTGTTAATATGAATGCTGATATGGAGGATAGGAACAAGTGGGCAAATCCACGACCTAAACAGTAAAATGAAACAAGCATTCCACCATAATGATCTTTGTGTGTTTTGGGGAAACTATATTGAGAAGGTTGCTATACAAATAAAATGCAATTAAAATCTCCATTAAACATTCTGAGCTACAAAAAATATAACTTTATGAAACAGTAATTTTTTTCTTTGTCTGAAAAAAAAATGCTGCTAATATGCTAGACACAGTACTACTACTGTAATGATTGTGTCAGGAAGTATATTGTATACAGAGGCATTCTCACCTGCAATGCCTTGCAGAAGACCACAGACATTGAAGATGCTTTTCTTCATGATGCTCTGGAAGCACAAGGTGAAGATGGACATGATGGCTACAGTGCACAGCAGCAGAATACCCACTGCCAGGAAGATGGAAGTGGCCTGCCAGAAGCCGCTGGCGATCTCCCCAAAGTGTGTGGCATATGGCCCGCACTGGACCCCCCTCGACAACTGTAGACAGCGCCCATAGAGTCCCAGTGTGGGCCTGTAGGGGTCCGGGGACCCGTATGATCCAATGTTATTGGTTGATCCAGTGGTGGTACCCACCAGCCAGTCGTTACTCATGAAGGCAATGAGCTCAGTGAAGGCGACCATGATGCTGAGAAGAGTCCAGAGCATGGAGCGACATGTCACAATCACATGACACATGGTGCAGGTGTGTCCAGAAAGTTTTGAAGCTTCTAGAAGTCCTGGAGTCTGGTTTCTTTATACTCCAAAATGTGAAGGTTTTCAAATTCAATGTAGAAAGAAGCCCAACTGAAAAGCAGCCTTAGCAGGTGAACTCAAGTCCGCAGCGGCTGTGATCCTTCTTGAATAGCTTCCGCTGGCTCCGTCCTCTTGGCTCTGACCTTGCTCTCCGCTGGCTCTCCGCACACCGTAAGTGCAAGTCTCTACGCCAGTGTGCCTTACGTCTGCTCACAGCACTACATCTTACCGAGGGAGCTCCAGAAGTATATCTGAGAGAGAGAGAGAGAGAGAGAGCGAGAGAGAGAGAGAGAGCGAGAGAGAGAGAGAGAGAGGTTAAGAAGATGGCGGGGGTGTGAAACTTGTTGCAAAAGGGCAAGTATTAGCTGCAGGAGCTCTGAATAAGCAGTGACACACCAGCACACACACTGCTCTCACAGCCTTAGCTGGAGAGCTTCCAAACTCACTTCCTTTCAAACTAGCAGATCCCCCAACTCGCCCCAACCTCTGTCTGGGTCCGGGAGCAGCCTCCATCCGGCAGCCGCCAGCTGTCACTATAAGGATGCCCTGTCACATCTGCCACCGACAAGCCAAGCTGGTGGCACAGAACCGCTATGATGTAAACACAGCGCTGCTTTCAGAAGGAGGATCTTACCACAGCACTAGCGCCACATTAGTGCTTACAAGCTAACAAACAGCATGCTTTAGTGGGCCTGTGGCCCTCCCCCCTCCCACATGCTTAGACATGACTCAGCAGCAGCCTCTCAGATGGACACAGTCGCTTTTAAAATGTCTCTCCAGTCAAGGTCAGTCCACGTGCACTGTGACAGACAGCTGAAACAAAAACTGCTTCGGGTCTCCACTTTTAAACTCGTAAGTTTCTTTAATCATTTCCTGCCCAATACAGCAATAAAGTGTTAAGTCAAACAAGCTGCTACGACCAAGGAACAACTGGAATGTTTTCAGGCTTATAGATAAAGAAGAGTAGGATCTACAAGCACTGCTGCTGCGAGAGATTTTGGGCGCCATGTAAGCATGCTATATTGGACCCACCACCCCGACTAATCCAATTATGTTCCAAATTTTTTAGGGCCCCTGTCTCTCAGAGACCCATGCAATAGTGCAAACTCCATCCCCCCACCCCCTTTTCAGCGCTCAGCCTGTAGCTCTTTTTTCCTAGCCTTGAAAGATAGCCTCTTCGGATTTCGTTTTTGAAGCTTATCTTGTTCAGTGGGGCTGCAAATGCTTATCGGCCGAACTAAGACAAGCTTGCAGTACCTGCTGCTCCTCACAAAAGGAGCCCTGTTCTCCGGCAGTCCTGCTAAGAAGGACGTGCCTGGTCTCAAAAGCGGTCAAAAGCGGACACATGGTAATGAGAGGTCACCCTGGTCAGGAAGCTGCAGTCATCATGAGCTCTGCAGCTAATTCCCATATCTCTGTCAATGGCAAATAGATGACAAACAAGCTTCTGGGACATTTTATGACTATTAGTTCCAGGTGTCCAATTGTAAGTGCAAGTCTGTACTTACAATAGAAGAACCTTAACTGTATAAACCTATAGAAAAAGCAAAAAAGAAGCGTACAGTTAGAAGACCTATTTTGTAAAATTCTCCTTGCTGACGGCCCAGCAGCCACCGTCCTTAACAGCTGTTGCACAATCCTGACCTTCATCTGACAGATTGCTAACCCCTCCTTCTGCAGCAGGTTTTAAGAGTTTCAGTGGCAATAAAACAGACTGCTAACGAGGTTCTGCAGGAAACCCAGGCAGTGCCTAAACGGGAAGGCAAATCAAATGCATTCTCTCTAACTTGTTGGTTTCTTTTGACATAGTCCCAGCACAGTGGTGTGGAACAGAATGTCTAACTAGGCCTCTGTTTATTTAGCAATGAGCACCAAGAGCTACAATATTTAAAAGCTCTTCAAACACAGCTGCCTCCCCCTGCCAGCGTCCCAAGGCATCCAGACACCTGTCGGTTCAGTCATTCCCTCTGCAAATACTCATCATTTTTCGCTATCCTCAGCAAGCTGGCACACGCAGACCTGCCAAAGGCTGAGGTACAAGTGAAAAATTCCATTTTAACTTTCACTAAGACAGTGATTAATCACTTGAAGCTTTAATGTATGATGATGGCTTTTAATAACTTGCTTCAGTATTATGATGTTAACATGTTATGGGGCTTTTACAATGATGAAGTTAATTCATGTCAGATTAATGAAAATACAACAACACACAAAATGGACTGTGTTTAGAAGTGACTCATTTTTACATACAAAACATTCAACCTTCTTCCATACCTGCTTTCCAGTACAGGACAGCAGTGATCATGAACCGTATCCTAGGAAGCACAAGGCAAATACAGGGTACACTCTACAGGGGATACTAATCTAACTGTGAAAATTCACACTAACAGAGACACACTCATTTGTTTTAATGGTGAGACTGAATTTCCCTCTTTATAGCAGTAAAACAGATGGTGGGATGGCCAACCAGCACCAATGGTACCAATGTACCATTTAAAGAAACAGTTAATTTACTGACTGCTTATCAGTGACATAAATATAACACGTACGACTCAAAACATCAAAATATTGTAAGATACACACACTGCCCTCAATTTATCACTGAACAAGACCAAGAACATTTGTTTGTCTAAGAACATTTGTTTCTATAAAATGGTGTGATTATGTAATCCATTTTCTTCCTTGGACTTGTTTGACATAATTATATACACATTTTCTATGTAGATACAAAACCATGTACTGAGTGAGGAAATAAAAGACAAATTCACAAAACAGTGTCAGAATTGTGGAATGCTTCATTTGGGAATTAAGTCATCCTGTTCAGTTACTTTTTCCTCTCTCCCACTATCCTGCGCTGTTTATAAGCCAGAATGTGAGACATGAAGTCATAGTCCTCGGGGAATGAGGTGGGGGTCCCTGCTGTGACAGTCACTGATGACAGCCATGTCTTTAGGGGGTCCTGACCTATGCAGTGACCCACCCCCACTATATCCCCCCCACTGTCTTCCACCAGAAACCAAAATAAGGCCAAACTCAGACTAGACTCCAGAGGAGTGACATGGAAGTCTCTCATTTGTTCCTCTTGATGAATCATCTGCATCTTGCTGTGGGAACTGTCTTTACTACCCTCTCCACCCAGTCTCCAGGACAAACAGCCCTTACTATCTGAGTTAACAACTGAAATGTCCAAATGAGTGACCATCACTCTTTCTTGTCCACATAAATATACATTGACAACAGGCACTACACCTAGATAATATATAAGGACAGAAATCTGATATAGATGATAAAAATAAAAGAACAAAAAAATGATTGTCCAAACCATTAAATATGTGACTGAATCTGAAAGTTATGTGGCCACAATTTATGATAACAATGCAGGCACTTCATGACTACGTAGAACATTTGCCCCTGGCAAAATAAATCATTATCACAACACAGGTCAGGACAAGGTATTAATCATATAAGCTCAATTCTGGTTTAAATTAGTTCTGGCAGCACTAATAACTGCATTATTTCATGTCACATCCAGACTGATCTGCATTAAACTCATGTTTAACTCTGTCTCATGCTTCTGACATTTCCAGGGAGGAAATCACATGCGCTTGGCACTTAATAATCTCTGACTAATTCCTCACTGTTTGCAGTAAAGTGGAAAAGAAAAAACCAGAATCAGAATATAAAACCAAAATGACATGGGAATCGTAAGGAATGAGATGAGATGGAAGATGGTGTGTCCTTCCTGACTTGTACTGAGGCCTGGAGATCTCACTCAAGACTTTGGCCTTGATTTGAAGTGTCTAAAACAATTGGATACTGTTGAGCAGCTCCAGACTTTCCAATGAAAGAGTTCAGCTGGACCAAGAAAGACCAGTTCATGACATCTGTAGTGGTAAGTGTGGCAGGAAGGTGATTAACGATTCCCCCTGCGGTGGGTGTTTAATAGCGATACAGGGTCGATTCCCTGACGAGCCCAGATGTACACTAGAAAGTTCCTTAGGTCCACCCCCCCCCCAAACAGACATACACACACATACCTACAGACCAGTCAAAACTAGCAAACCAGAACACTGTTTTTCATGCTTAGTATAAATTACTTTAGCTAGCCATGGAATCTGAACTGTGGACTGAAAAGGGAAGCCATGAATCCTGGAAAAGAAAAGAAAAAACTTTAGCTCAATGTCTTACATTAAACAAATATATGTATCAAATACATAGAATCATTATCTCTGGGTCGACCAACATTTTACAGAAGACAGGTCATAACTCTACTTTGTTAACTTTTAAAATCTCTTAGAATCCCTCTGATTTCTGTTCTCCCTGATCTCAGACAGGTTGGCTTCATAGTGAGTCACCAATCTCAAGTGCTCCTCACTCTGTTTCCTGCTGATCCAGCCTGCTGCGCTTGATTCAGCCAATATGGTTTGATCAAATTCTCATGCCCTTCTGGAATGAGATCCATTGCACTGCCTTAGGCTGATATCATTCCAGGCTTCCCAACATCTACTGGGATAAGGCAGACTGTCTCTACAGTTTGTGACATCACCCTTTGTTCAGCGCTTGGTTCACTCCCTTCCGTACCCCACACCAGATTCCTAGCAGCCGCTGTCACTCTGTTTATTAAGTACTGCCAGACTGGCGACATGCGGCGATTCCTCTCATGTTCATATACTTCAGATCTTTACAAACCTGGCAGATACCTGGATGTCTCATCAGCATCTTAAGGTCAATCTAGACATAACTTCTCCATAGCAGACATGTGCACTACACCATGACCTTGGTCTTCAATCGGGAGGAATTTATTTTCAACTTTGTGATTAGTGAGGTTACTTACATTTAAATTACACTGCGTTTTCCCACAAAGGCTGTACATGTAATTCACAAGGCTGGGTTTCCTAACCCTGCACGGGAGGCTGGATGCTGATTGCGAACCATGGTGACAGAGGAAGGTACACATTCCATCCTCATTTCCTACTGTCCCCCCACTTCAATGCCATTAGCTGAGCAAAAGACACTCAGAGCAGTGAAGTCATGTCTGCGGAGTGTCGAGGAAAAGGATCACCAGCTGGCTTGGTAACCACATGGATCAGCTTCTCCTGTCAGCCTCAGCCTTTGGTAGATGATGGAACTAAGCTGATTTTCAATGTGCTAAAATACTACTGTAGAGCAGTATATCTTTGTTTTTTCACTTCTCATTCTTCTAATCTTTATTTGCAGGCAGTCCCCGGATTAAGAACCTCCGATTTACGGACAACAAGCACTTACGAACGGACTACCATAAAGTCTATAATATTAAAAAAATCAGGTTAAATACAATGGTTTGTAATAACGAACACACACACTGCTTTGTGATGCTTGTGAAAACATTGTGTGGCTTCAGCAGTTCTTCAGCTCGAGGTACGGTACAGTACTGTATGTAGTTACTTTATTACTGTAAAATTATTATTGTTATTAAATACTGTATTATTGATTTTCTGACTTACCAACACATTCCACATAAAAACACAGACTTAGGGAATGGATCTCGTGTGTAACCTGGGGACTGTGTATTTGTATTATCACCAGGAGGGACAAACAACAAGCACAAAGTGTTAACCTCTTTGAAGTGGATGAGGGTGGTGAAGACACAGGAGGTGAAATGTTCCTGTCACATAGCTGACTAACTTGCTCAACAGCCTCTGGCTCAGGGCACAGCCTGGCTGGAAAAAGCTATCGTAGAAATACTCCTCAGGAAAAAGCCAAGGTTTTATGTAATTTTTCAGCTGGACATTAATGGCATGCCTACCAATATCAGCAATCTGAGAAATAATACTCTTGAGACAAGGAAATAACCTGATGTAAATTAGCAGAAATTCAACAGATTATGTTAAATGAAAAGCAGAATATGGGTATTCAAATGCACTTT